CGGTAGACGTGAGGGCATGTTGGGTTTATAGGTAAGATAGCCTCGGTTAGAAAGAAAGCCTAAAAATTAGATTTCAAAAGCAATTTTTCCACAGTTTCGTCTCTGAACCTTGAGAGTAGATCTAAAATCCCCTACATCTGATAGCACTGTCCTAGATTATATATTTGTTAAATTTAATAAATGGCGCACACAAGGAAGATTTTCACCCGTTGCACGACTATGCCTATGAGGTATGCAAATGAGGCGATTTTAGCCCTTTCACCTCTTTTCACCCTAAATGATGGCAGTGTGGGCTGTTGGCGGGTCCTCTGCTGCTGTGGTTTGCTCTTTCTTTCTTATCAAACATCTATCGTCCTTATCTCCCCTCCTTATTTTCTGGGATAGTAACTCTCACGTAACATCATTAATCTTCGGCACTTATACGACCAAATTGTATTGCACGTGCCGAAAAACTTTTACTAAAAGTGTGTAAAACTTAACCCCCTATCCGTACGTCGTGTTTTACTGTCGTATCCATACGACGTGGGGAACTCTGTGCCACCACTTTCAACAGAAAAAATGCACTTTCAACAGAAAAAATGTACTCGTTAATCCAATCCGTATGCTTTGCATAGCAGTCTGTCAAAATGTTTTTGACAAATACTAAACGTTTCAAAGAGATCTTCGTATTAGAAGTATTCTAAAATGTTAAGAATACAACCTAGGTGGTACAAAATGACCCCAGGGCGTATGGAAGGGGTTAAAAGTAAGCTACTTTGGCAGCGGTGCATCGAGTGGAAATATTCCAAGAGTTCGCTAGGCCAAAGTCTCTAGAAACACTTACAGTAGTTTGTCACGCTTGCTGGCGTGGTGCTCATCATGTAGCCTGCAAGAGAAGACAGAAGTGGCAGAAGGATTTACATACAAACACGTACGCGCGCACACGCACATACACATACACACATACATACACACACACACACACACACACACACACACACACACACACACACATAAATACGCACATACAAACACACACATATACACACGTGTAGACAAGCACACACAAACACACATATGCACAAGCATACACACGCTTATAAACGAACACACAAACAAACACGCATGCATGCATACACAGTATACAAATACATAGTACATGAACATACTCAAATAGTAAAACACACCTAGACCTAAGACACAACACACCCAGACACTCACACTCGACACGTAACTACCACCTATAACTAACTCAACATATTCGAACCTTCGACACACGTCTTATACAACACACCCATCACATAACGGGGGCTTCCCAGTTTGTCACTGGCTCAGTCTGTCGAAATTTAATTAAGTATTAAATTGAGTATTGACGACAGTCATAATTACATCACTTTAACACTGTAGCTGTATCTTAATTTTTTTAAAATTAGTCTCCACCTTCAATTTGGTGGTGCAGAGATAGTCCCTCTAAATAAATGTCAATTCAGTTTGTGTTGTTCAATATATCTTCCTTTTTTGTATGCATATCAAAGTAAATTTTAATTACTCTGTAAAATTTCAACAATGAAAATGTTCTTTCGTTGAAAACAATTGAAAAATAAAATATTCAATTCTTACAACCAATCAGTTACAACTTTACTCTTTTTGAGAGTGTCAGTGAAAACATGCAGGGCACAGCCGAGGCCTGTGACAAACTGGTTGCTTCCCCCATAACTGACACGACACACACACAGCCTGCATACTAAATTACAACACATCAAGCAAGACTGTTGACCCATAACTAGCAAAGCACATACATTCCTGCTTTGATTCCAAACGCACTGATGAGGTTGTTCTCCTTAGGAGGTTACCAAGGAAGTCAAGATAAGAAGGAAGGGAAGTAATACTTGGGCCATCTACTTCTCTATGTCATCCGCCCAGGTGACGCTGTGTCATGTATACTGCTTTAAGATGGTTTGTCAAGACACAAAAGGCCATCCCAGCACGTCATTTAACCAGGGCCTCGTAAAACGGTGGAACCCCCCCACACACACACTATCCTCCAAGCAACTTGCTCGCTCAACACACCCACCCATGGGTAACACACTAGCACAGCTCATCAATACTTCCATCCCCTCTACAACCAACATAGCACACCCACCTAAAGGCAACAGACTAGCACAACGCATCCCCCCTCCCCCATCCATCCCCTTTACACCAGACAGAATTACGCACCCAAAGGTAACACACTAACACAACACATCCACTTATCCATCCATCCCCTGTACACACAGCACAACACACAACACACAACACACACTCCCAATCCACCTCATATACACACAACACACAACACAACACAACACAACACACAACACACCGGCTGAGGAGCCTAGCGTAGCCACCAGCACGGCAGAGAGCACGGCCACCGCCACCACCACGAGCACCACCAGCAGGAAGATCACGTGGTTCCGCGTCCGACGACGCCGCTTCTCGTCAAAGTCATCGCGGAGTTGCTGGGGTCAGGAACAGCATAAGAGGGGGTTGGGGGTGGGGTATATGTGAGATAATATGAGCCACGAGATCTGAGACATGCCATAATGTGAGCTATGATGTCCCTATTTGGAAGTGGGAGGAGGAGGGGGAGGTATATGTGAGATAATGTGAACCAGGAAATCTGAGACATGCCATAATGTGAGCTATGATGTCCCTCCTGTTTGGAAGTGGGAGGTTATGTGAGATAATATGAGCCACGAGATCTGAGCCTATACACAGGGTGTTGGCGAGTTGGTGTGCGTGCTAAACGTAGGTACACAATACATTGATGATGTCTCACTCCTGTGTAAAAAAAAGGGAGGGAGGTGGAACAAGTGTTATGTTTTATGTTTCTTTTAGAAGAGGTTTTACGGCGCTCGCAACTGCATAAGGTCATATTATTTTATGAGCGCCAGAAGATAAGAGGTGCTACAAGAGAGTAACTAATATAAAAAAAGAAGGAGGGGAGATAAGGACGATAGGAAAGAAGAAGCAAACCCCACCAGAGCACCCGCCAACCACCCTCTAACAAGAGTTAGATCTCGTCCATATCATTGATTAACAAAATCACCCCCTGACTTAACTCTCTTACCTGTCTAGAGGAGTCTTTTTGACTGACCAGATCCTTCTCCTTCTCGGGTGACGTCCCGTCCTGTCTGGATGACGTAGAACCTTGACGTCTGGGCTCACTGTTGGCGGTGTGAGAAGCGAAGACATTGTGCAGTGCTTGAGATTTGCGGCTTTTGCCACTGCTGTTTTTGTTGCTGTTGTTGTTGCTGTTGCTGTTGCTGTTGCTGTTGCTGCTGTTGTTCTTTCCGTTTGCTCGCACACTCGTGTTGTTCGGTTTACGTTTTGAGCTGGTTTTGTTCCGCTTCGCTGAAAGACGGTTTCTGTTCTCGTCCTCGTCCGATCGTCCTTTGTCGTATGTCTTTCTGATCTTCTCAAATTCGTTCTTGATAGAGAGATCGAGGTCCTCAAAGTTTTTCGGTAAGCTCTCTCGTTTCGGTTGCACACGGTTGTTGAAGTTGTACGAGCTAGGGTTCGGACTGGCAGGGGGCATGTCGTGGACGCGGGGGTATCCAGACGGCAGTCTCTGGAAAGTCTCTTCGCTGACGTCACGTGTCACGTGTGGATGTTGCTGTGTGTAATGAGCGGTGTGGTAGTCGTTTTGGTGAAAAAGCTGCTGCTGCTGCTGCTGTTGCTGTTGATATTGTTGCTGCTGCTGTTTATAGTGCTGCTGTTGCGGGTTCTCTTCCCCATAGGGGCCATGCTGCTGCACGGCGTACTCGTCCACACCAAAGGGGAAATCGGAAAGTCGATCAACGCCAGACGAATACGAGTCTCTGTTAGGTCGGTGGTCAACTTGACCAGTGATCAGTGCTCTCACTCGCGAACCTGGAGGCGTCTTCCTCCTTCCCGCGCCGCCCAGCTGTAGACAACTGGCGTGGTTAGAGGGCGTGTGCTCCTCGGAAGAAGACCGCTGGAACGCCTTGTTGGGCCGGGGTGGCGGTGGTCTGGAGCCCGCGTCACTGCTGGAGTAGGCCAGACCACTGTGCCAGCGTAGACCCACCCCCGAGAACGGACTGCGGTCATCTCCACTGGACGAGTACCAGGGGCCGCGGGGACCCAACTCCACCAGCTCGGTGGGCGTGACCGGCCCACTGGACTCCTTCTTGACCTCCTTCTTGCGCCGTCTGCCCGGCTTGTTCTCGCCCCTGGCCTCGCTAAATGACGTCACCGGCCCACGGATGCGAGAGGACCTGGGCGGTGGTACGGGGCGCAGTGGGGCGGCTGTCCTGTTGTGTGGCGGCGGGGGACTGTAGCAGTCCGGGAATCCTTGCTCTGGCGGACACGCAATCTGTGGGGCGACTGGCAGGTGTCCCGGGGGCTGGGATGCGCCTGGCGTCAGGCCTCTGTTGGCAGGTTTGGGCGGGAAAGTCTTGTAGCTGCCTGGTCCTTCCAGGCCTCGGGCCGCCTGGTCGGACTGTGTACGGCTGAGCAAGTATTTCTGGGGTGCAGGTTCAAAACCCTCACCATCCCATGGCTCAGACCTTGGCATGTAGAACATATTATTATCCATGGTCCGTTTTGAGTCCGTGCTAGAAGCAGAAATAAAACAACAGGTGAGAGAAGACAACCAAACCTCACCTTCTTGATAATATTCAGTCTACTCTCTAATTGTGCGTGTATTTACCCCATCCCCTCCCCCCAAAAAAACAACAACAACAACCCCCAACCCCCCCTCCCCCCCAAAAAAAATCGACTCATTTTAATTAATTAACGACTCCATCTTCGATCCTACCTATCAATGCGATCTAGAGTTGTCAGGGATTGGACTTCCAAGCAGAAAGACTGGGATACTCAGCGAAAAGAAAATCTCCCCACATGGATATCGAATTTATTTGGCCGGGTGTTCTGCGCGCGGAAACGAAGTGCCTAACGCCACAGACGCCGCCAATCAGAGTTGCCAACAACCAGACACTTCCAATAGAGGTCTACTTGAGCCCATCGTTTGGAGCTTACTTGACCTACTACGCGCATAAAGGCCCTCCACTTCTCCTAGTTTAGTTTTAGTAAGAGTTTTACGGCATTTGCAAAACAATAAGGTCATATAAGTGCCGAAGATTAAAGGTGTAACAATAGAGTAACAAACACGAAAAAGAAGGGGAGAAAACGACGATACATGTTTGACAGGAAAGAAGAAGCCAACCACACCAGAGCACCTAGTGTACGTGCGCGTGTGTGTGTTTGTATATGTGTCTAGTGTATGTGTGTGTCTGCGTGTGTCTGTGTGTTTCTGTCTGAGTGTCTGTGTTTGTCTGCGTGTGTGTGTCTGTGTGTTAGTGTGTGTGTGTTTCGGTATGTGTGTGTGTGCGCGCGAGCGCGCGTGTGGTTGTGAGTGTGCGAATGCTTTGGGAAAAACCCCGAGTGGCAAAATTTTGTCCTCAAAAGAATTACCCTTCAAGTTTCTGTGGTTTTGTGCACAGAACCAGCAACTCTATGAGATCCAGAAATATATTACATGTATTATGGGAAGCTTGGCAGTTTGTCACAGGCCCAGTTTGTCATAGGCCTCGACTGTGCCCTGCATGATGGAAGTCATCACTTACACTCTCAAAAAGAGTAAATTAATATTTAATTGATTTTATGAAGTCAAAAAGAGTAAATTAATGATTAATTGATATTATGAATTTAATTTAATTTTTCAATTCTTTTAAAGAAAGAACATTCATTGTTGAAATTTTACAGAGTAATTTAAATTTGCTTTGATTTGTGTACAAAAAACCCCAGAAGAAATATTGCACAATACAAGCTGAATGGACATTTTAGAGGGACTATCTCTACATCCTCAATTTGAAGGTGGAGAATAAAAAAATAGGTTACAACTACAGTGTTAAAGTGCTGTAATTAGTAATTATGATTGTCGTCAATACTCAAATACTTAAATGAAATTGTGACAAACTGGCCCCCTGTGCCAAACTTGGCAGCCCATTATTATGTTCTCACTACTCCTTCAATGAAAGCTTCCGTTCCTTACACAATACAATGATATTTCCATCACTTCCCGATCTCAACAATGCTTCTGTTACTTCCTCATCATAATTTTGCCGTTGTCACATCCTTATCCCAACAAGTTACTTTCACATCCACACGAGAAAGACATTTCCGCTAGATCTACTTCCTTACCCCAAAGACGTCTGCGGTTCTTCAACACCGGAACAACGTCTACATCACTTCGTCACTACAAAGATGTCCACATTACTTCGTCCCCATGAACATGTCTCAATTCTTTCCTCACCACAAAGAAGTCCACACCTCAGGAAAGTCTCTCTCTCTCTCTCTCTCTCTCTCTA